AAAAAAAAAAAAAAAAAAAAATCAAGAGGGAAAAGCCAAAAATATTATTTTTCAATGGTGTTAAACCCAACAAACTGTTGATCGGCTTGAGTTAGGCTATTAAATGAATTGTGCTTTAGCTCGCTTTCCAGTTCATTATGTTGACGAATCGATTCTTGAAACAGTTTTTACGTAATTTATTGAACTATCAAATTAGTCTAAATCGTTAAAATTCTACTTCAAATAGTTAATTTTGATAAACAAGTCGAACTCGGCTGAACTCGATAAATGTTTAAACTCAAGCTTAAGTATCAAAATATCAAGCTTGGTCCACGGTTTATGACTATAGTTCTAATGCAACTAAATATCAACATTGGCGGAAATGATATTATAATAATTTAACTCTTTCATAAATGTAGAAAAAGAACTGAAATTACATTAAATTTGACAAATTTAGTATATGACAAGAAAAATAGGATTTATATAGAACAATATTGTTATAAAGTTTTTAATATAATATTATTTGCCATAAATGTCTTATGGAGACGAGATTGTGTTGGTTTTTTTGGACAAGCATGGTCACTCAGTATCATTGATTTAATTATATATTTCATTTGTTTTATTTATTTGTTCTGTTTGTTTTAATATTTATCAAAAGTATCCAAAACTTGTTAGAAAACTTATTTATTTTATTAGAGTCATTTACTTGTTGGGTAAGATATTTACTTAGAGTTACAGGTTATACTTAAAGACTCATCTTCTATTGTTTCGAGAAAGTTGACTTTGATTGAAATAAAACATGTAAAGAGTTTTTTCTTTATTTCTCTCATTCATTTACGTTTTCTCTACGTCAGTTGGCATCAACAGACCAGTATGATCCGCCCAAATGGACAATGCTGCAGACGACAGGCACGATGTCATAATCGAGGCGCTGGGGCGCCACGGTGAGGCGTTGAGACGCCAGGTCGCGGATGTAGCCGCGGGGCTCAAGGACATCCGACTGGCTCTACATATCGTTGTCACGGTGGCCATACGAACCGTGCGCCGAACAAAGTACGTGGCGGCCGCGGGGGTGGATGCGGTAGGGGTACCCAATGTGCACCCCACTCACAATCGCCTTCATCGTTATTCGATGACGATGGCTATGAGGACAATGTCGCCAAGATAAATCCTTTCAGTCATATGGCGACACGAAACGAAGACTACTTCGCCGATGACCGGCGATGGGAGTCGTCTTTTCATATCGACAACCTTGAATCTTCAAGGAGCCTTGAGGATGAGCAGGGGTCGACCAAATATGAGGGTCCACCTCTTATTTATGACGATGGGTCGACCACATATGAGGGTCCGTCTATTTTTTATGACGAGAGGTTGATCGGATATGAGAGTACGTCTCATTTTTATGATGAGGTTATCGAGATAGGAAGAAATGAAACCGGGAGAGATTTCTCTGAAAAGATACAATGACTTACATGCTTGGATATGGAAAGAGTGTTGCAGCGCGTTGGTTGTAATTATTGTGGCATATGGGAAACACGACTGTTTGCTTGTGTTAGGACTTAGGAGTATGTGATTTGCCTTGATAAGTACGATTATGTGGACTTTTGTCATTCTTGGATCAAATTTAAAGCAAGACTGTAAAAGAAGAAGAGACTCCTAATGCATCTTACAAGCGTCTTGCGGATGCGGGTAGTCGCCATGTCGCGTTTGAGGTAGTGAATTATGTGTGGGTCATTTTGACGAGTGAGTGGATTTTATGCTCGTGAGTATAATTATCGGCCCGTAAAATTGGTTTGGTCGAGATTGTTAAGACGAGATTGCGCAGGATAATCTTTTTGGGAAGGGGAAAATGATGAAGACAATATTGCAGTGACCTTTTTTTTTTTACAAACATGATCGTTTAACATCATTAATTTAATTATATATTTCATTAATTATTTATATATATTTGTTTTGCTTTAATAGCTAAGTGCATCCTAAATTTGTTACGAAATTTATTTATTTTATTACAGTCCTTTATGGTAAGATATTTACTTAACAGTTCTATTTAAAAACTCTATCTTCTCTTTATTACGTCTCTTCTTAATAGTTCTGAATGTCCCCACCCATTATTGTTTCTTTCATAGTATTTTAAGATGACTAAAATTGAAACCTAAATTGTCGGTTTTGCTATGAAGCCAACAGTTGGCTCCATAGTGGATTCAACCTTCTATATACAACAAACAAACCTACTATATTAAAAAAATTATATTAATGTTATTTAAGTAATCGGAGAATATAGTAAGTCTATTTGTTGTATATAGAAGGTTAGCTCCACTATGGAGCCAACTGTTGGCTCCATAGCAAAACTGAATAAATTGTAGTCGATTTCAAAACATGATTGGTACATTGATTGCAGTAACTACTGAAGTCTAAAGCGTGCAATGCTTTTGGAGGGCTCGATGAAATTAATTATATATCAATTGTTTTATAGGAAAATAATACAGTCCCGTTATGGAACATTATGTCGGGATTTGTAACCGTTAGATCATCATGTAACTGTCGTGGATAATAGATTTACGGTTACAAAACTCGATGGAATGTACGTAACGGGATCACAGAATCTCCCAGTTTTATATTGCATCTATGTAATATTTATTAATGCATGTAATATATATATAAGCCAACCTATTTAACAAAAATAATAATAAGAAAAGTCAACACACATTTAATGCATATCATATTTGGAAATTATTTATTATATGCATTAATTGCTTGCATATATACTTTTCCTATCCATATATAATTATAAAGATTCTCTCTATAAATAATTTTATTAACTTCTGCAATGATTTTACTGATATTCATTATAATTAATATTTGTGGATAATATTTTTAACCTTTATTTTAATTATATGAAACTAATATTTTTTTAAAATTAATATTACTTTTCATTTAAGAGATAATGATCACATCATTAAATGATTATATTTATGGCTAGGTAATAAAAAATAAATATATTAGTTATTCTTTAAAATTTTGACATGTTATTTATATGTATATTATTGTCAACCATGATAATGTTTTTATTTTATTTTTTATTTTTGTTTTGTTTTGTTTTGTTTTGTTTTGATCTGTTTCTATAATGAACTTATTGTAAAAAAAAATTCTATTGCATAGTATGTTAAAAAAACTATAAAGCCTTAGGATCAATATTAGAAAAAATCTCTTGATTATCTAATGGATTTATTTGTTGGTAATTGCTAAATCAATTGTTTTAAAATTATTATGAGAAAAATTAAATCCTAAAAAACATATGTGTGTATTTCACTATTTTGTAAACATTTATACACAAAATTTTATTTTGAATTTCATTACATAAAGAAGACTACTTATTAACTTTATAAATAATAATAATGACATTATACGACTATAAATTTTATAATAAAATAATAATTGAGTATTATATGGTGAACAAGAATAAATAAAATTTTTATTTTTTCTTATCAATGAATAAATATGTATTCTAGAATCAAATTTATATTAGTATAACGTGTTAGCGGAATAATATATTAATTAACATGTTAATTTTCTGGCTAAAATAAATCACTTATTAAAAGATGTGAAATATGGTTGATCCAAACCTATTGTCTTTTTGCCTAAACGTACAAGTCCTATGAAAATGATTGGCCTATTGCATGTATCACGTGCATCGCACGGGCTATGCACTAGTTATTGATAATTATATATGACTGTGTAAATAATAGCATTATACAATATTAAAAATAATGTTATTTACTAATAAAAATAGCATTAAATTTACTTTCACAGTTCTCACACGAAAACTTATTTTTTTTTTTTTTCCATATTTGACCGGATTTAACTATGTAGTAAATAAAATTACCTTCAACAATGGTGAGGTTGCATGGTTTGAGAGAGATAATATCCACGGAATCTTTCAGATTCGCTCCTCGAACCTAAAAACCACCAATAATCGTAATGTACTTATTTGTATTAATAAATTAATTAAATTATCTCCATTTGATTTAAAAATATTTTATTAACTTTGCATTATATGTTTCATTTATTTGATTTAAATTATATATATATATATATATACATAAAATAAAAATCATCTCCTCAACCTAAAGATTTGTGTGAGTTGTTTTTATAAAAAAAAATATATTTAATATACTAAAATAAAAATAAAATTAAGTTGTAGGGTGCAGAATTAAATTAGTTTTACCTCATGAGACAGTGAGTAGTTGGTCAAGTGACACGTGTCAAAGTGAACGGCCAAAAGTTTCCTCACATCTAAGATCTTGTCCGTTGATATTCCCTGCGGTTCCATGCATTTGCATTACAGATTTTTTGTTTCTTGTGGGTTTGGATACAAATAAATCCAAAACATACTCGAAATCTAACTCAAATTTAATTCATAAAAAAAGTAATGTCCGTTGCATTTAATGTAATGTCTTTATTTTTATTAGTGCATAGTCCATGCGATGCACGTGATACATATATTAAATAAGTCATTTTCATAGTGCTTGTACATTTAGGTATAAATAAACAATAGAGTTTGATCATTATTTTCCACCTCTTTTAATAAGTAATGTTTATTTTTTTATTTTTTATTTTTTATTTTTGCACTAAATTAAACAAAAGAAAATACAAAATACAATCCAGCAAGACTAAACCTCCGTTACCAACCCAAACAAGGGAGACAAAAAAGACGAGATACTATCACCCCAAACAAGTGATGTTTATTTTAGTCATGACATTAACATATTAATTAATATATAATTCTGCTAATACGTTATACTAATATAAATTTGGCTTTATAATATATTTTATTCCTTGATATAATAAAAATAATAATTTTACTTATTCTTGTTCACTATATAATACTCGATTACTATTTTGTTATAAAATTTTTATAGTATAATGTCATTATTATTATTTATAAAAGTATAGAAGTAGTCTTCTGCTTCTTAATTTATGTAATTAAATTTAAACTAAAATTTTGTATATAAATGTTTACAAAATACACACACGTGTTTTTTAGAATTTAATTCTCATAATAATTAAAAAAAAAAAATTGCATCCTAAAGCTTTATAGTTTATTTAACATACTATGCAATATAAATATATTTTTACAATAACTTTATTATGAAATAAAAATAATAAAAATAAATTATTATGATTGATAATAATATACAAATAAATCACATATTGATATTGTAAAGAACAATTAATGTATTTTAATTTTATTATCTAGCCATTAGTAAAAAATTTATTGATGTGATCATTACCTCTTACATAGTTAATTATTTTAATTTGAAAAAAAAAATATTTATTTAAATGAAGTTTAAAAAATATTGGCGACAAATATTAATTCAACAACTTGATTTTGCTTACTTAATTAGTTAGAAGGGTAAAATTAATTAACATGTTACTATTGTTTATTAATATTATAGGATGAAAGTCAATATTTGAGAAAAAAAAATAATAATATGGTTAAGGCTTAAACTTTGTGTTCATATCTATGTTGACAAAAATAGTATCAACATGAATCACGAAAAGTCAAATTGTAGTTTACTATAATGGATATCAATAAAATTATTGCATATATTAATAAAATTATTTTAGGAAAAAAAATCTTTTTGATTATATTTGATTTGGAAACGTGTATATGCAAACAATTAATGCATCTATTATGCATTAAATAATTTCAAATTGTTGCTACTATTTTTATTAAATGGTTATCTCTTTATAAATATATGTAGATTTATTACATTTTTATGTGTTTTTACACCAACTAGTGTGTTACCCGTGCGATTCACGAGCTAGTTTTATTAAGGTAAGCAGTTAAATTTGGATGATTGGAAGAACGTAAAATACATATATTGAAATGAAACACAATGTAACGTTATATATTATTAAACACATCATTGTACACAAAGTTATTTATTTGGTCTTTTGGTACATCGTCTATCGCCACAAATTATATAAGATTGTAGATAGTCTTAAATAAATCGATTAAATTATTTAGCAGAATATATACGATATTTTGTAAGTGTATGAAATCATTATTTATTTTGTAAGTGTATTCAATCAATTTCAAATTTGTATTCTAGATAATTAAACAAAACCCAAATTTTTAGGATGTTACAATCCGATTTCATTTTGAATTTCAAATTAATATTATATGACTTTGTTTTATGTTTAAAAAATGTCCGAATTAAAGAAAGTAGTAATCAAATGATAATAGATTTTTAAATTTTAATTTGAAATTTGGCCCGATTATTATGTAATCCGATTTTTTTTTTAATAAACATGATCTGCTACAATTAGGTAAAGATACATGTTATAGTGTTTTGTCTAACTCAAAATTCTCGATTGTATGGTAAACATATTTTTTTAATAACAAAAATGAAAGAATTTTGACTTTTACAAAATTGTCATGCCGACTATGCAATCCAATTTTTATAATAAATAATTGATTTGTTGCAATTAGTAAATGATATATGTGATAGTATTTTGCCTAATTCAAAATTTTTGATTTTATTGTATTCAGTTTTTTAATAAAAATAGAGAAAGAAAATGGACTTTTGCGTCAGTCAAAATTTACCTAAATTAAATCCACAAAATATATAAATTTAGGGAGCACATTAAAAAAATAAAATTATTGTACCATTTCAAGATTAAATCAACCGTAATTAGTTTTAATTAAAGTATAATAGTTTCCAAA